TGTGCTGAATCAATTCAAAATTCTTAATTTTCAAAGGGCTTGGTGTTATAAAGTACTCTACAGTGTTGCCAAGAGTGTGTAGGAAAGAAACATGCTTAAAAATATTAAAAATATGACTTGTATGGTCCTTTCTTCATAGAGAACTTAGGAAGAAATTAGCAAACTTGTTGTTCTGTGCCTGGTTGTTCCCCCTAAGCCTCATGCAGGCATGGGGGCAGTTTCTATTGCTTTTTTTTTTTTTTTTTTTTTAACCAGGGATTGAACTCAGGCCCTTGTGCTTGCCAGGGAAGTGCTTATTCCACTGAGCCATTTCCTGGATCCTGGGGCAGCTTCTGGATTTGGTGACTAATTCATGATCCAATGCTGGTTTATGGGAGTGAGTGATACACTGCTCTGGGGTGGATAGCCTGAGACAACAGAAGGAAATAAGAGAGGCCTGCTAACTGCCCCAGATGTTCCTCCTTTTATTATTTGCTGCTTTCCAAATCCATGATCGGTGTCCTCTGCCATGTGCCACTCTGCCTTGGAGCCTGCTGAGTAGTGACTGAAACCTGCACTAACTGGGAGCTAAATGAGCTTTTCTTCTTTTATTGTGGTGTTGCATATTTTGTTCCCACAGTGAGAAATTAACTGAGACATGTGTAAATAAACAAATACATTGTCCCATAGCATTTGCGAAATTTTTGCTCAAAGAAATAGGAAGGATGTGACAGATGAGCATCATGGATACACAAGGAGTTTACTCAACAGCAATAAATCCTGCGTCATGGCTGAGAGCAGAGTCAGTGCTGGAGGACCTGCCTGGCAAGTACATGTCCAGGGTTTAATCCTGACTACTATGGAAAGAAACAGAGCTAAAGACAAAAGAAAAAACGAAATAAAAGAAGAAGGTAGGAGGATGAAAGGATGGAAGGAAGGAAGTGTCAAAAAATATTGGGAATAAATTCATGTTCACAAATTAGAAAATGTTTAAATGATTTATACTCCTTCAAAGCCCAGGATAATATACAGCTGTGTGCACAGCTGATGCTGATGCTGATGGCATCATCACTACCAGGATGCTGACGATGCTCCTCATGTGACTACCACGGCCAGCACTGACAGAGCTTCGCCTATGGAGCGGGGAGGCCTTGGGTCCACTGTTTGAACTGCGGCTCACGCTTCTTCTTGGCACGGGCCACACAGGAAGCTCTCCTCCTGGCTCCCTGTGCCACGTGGAAAGGGAAGCAGGGGAACCTCCGGTGACTCATCCAGAGTCTCCCAAAGGCCCAGGGGGTTTCTGACTCCAACCTAGTTTCACTGCAGAAGACTACAACATCACCTTCTTCCTCTTGCTAGGAATTCTGAGCTACTCTGAGGTGTGTCCCCTCATATGATGGTTTGTGTTTAGTTATCTAGTGTAAGTTAAGGGGCCAGTGGGCTAGAGAAGCAGCCAATCTCTTGAGGGGCGGGACCAGAGGGGCGGGGCCAGAGGGATGGAGCCAGAGGGGCAAAGCCAGGGGGTGGGGGCAGAGAGGTGGGGGCAGAAGGGCGGGGCCAGAAGGGTGGGGCCAAGTGGTGGAGCCAGAGGGCAGTCCCAGAGGGCGGGCTAGAGGGGTGGGCCCAGAGGGTGGGCCAGAGGGGTGGGGCCACAGAGGGCTGAGCAGTTAAACTGGCCAGCCTGTGCTTTCTCAGAGATGTGGAGAAGGGCATCCTGGACAAGGCAGCTCCCCGGCCTCTCCTCCAGTATCTTGAAGTCTCAAGTAAACGTGAGCTAAACAAACCTCTCTTTCCCTCATTTTGAGTGTGGGGTTTTTGTCCTAGGAAGGAGACAAGAGTATCTCATGCACCGCACACACCAGCTTCGGGCATAGTGAGGTCTCTCTTGCCTGTGGGATTTGTGTATGTTCTGGGGCTGCCGGACTGTTTATTTGCAGACAATGTACATTTTAGGGATGCTTTGGACATGTCTCTAATGAACTTTTCAGCATTTTGGCACAAATGTTTTCTCTGATTTTAGGGAGGGCAGCCATGGCACTGGCTCTGTACCAGTGAAGGCATAAGTA